CCCCAGGACCCTTGGGTGGAGCCTGGCAGCCTCATACACCTGTGTGTGTCTGGGTGATGAGGTCACTGGGTGATGAGGTCACTGACCATCCACCCTTGGATAGTGGGGCTTCATTCTGCTCCCTGCTCCTGTTCCACCTCAGAGGGCTGGGTACCCTGAGAACAGCTGTCTTACTGCTAAAACCTGAGGCAAAGAAGGCATTAAGTACCTGAAGTCTTTTCTTCATCCTTTTTCACAATGTTTCCTCCCACATCCACTTAAGAGTCTAGATTCTCCTTAGCCTTCCTTTTTTTGCTGATGAATTTGTAGAAACATTTTTTACAGTAACCAGAATAAGTTTTATTTGAGATTTGACCCTTTTCATTTTCTCCCTGTACAACCTCAAAACACCTCAGAGCTCCTTCTAAGTTGCATGCCCCTTATTATCATAAACTCACTTTTTTTCCCTTAGCTCCATCCAAAGCTCTCTGTCAGCCATTTATCAAGTGATGCCTCAACTCTCCCCACCTTACCTTGGCCACTCCAGGCTCTCTGCAGGCAGGAGGGGAAGACCTGGACCCTCTGGCAATCCTGCCTCCCTCCACCAGTTGCAGAAGTGACCTCAGGTGGCCAGGGGTCTCAGTTACTGCTTTCATTTTAGTGTCTCCACCTAGCTGAGATGAATACCACTTTGGAAAATGTAAAGTTTTAAAGCTTTCTGCTTTAAAACCAGCCAACAGCCACTGTAAGAAAGTATTTCTTTATGAAACTTATCTGAGGAGCTACTCCCCCTCTTCTTTGCACCTCTCTGCAGGAATAATTTGAGTAGTCTGTGCCCAAATTGAATGTCAAAAAAAGAAGGTGGTTAGTCCAGGTTCAGCAAAAAAGTTGAGTGAAAGACTTTCACTTTATCCTGCATTTAAATGTACACTTATGTCTAATTCTGAGCTAAACTGGAATTGGCTGGGAACTGGCTGGGAAAGGACAAACCGGGCTGCTGAGAACACCAATGAACTGTCTGCACCACTGTGGAGAGGATGGCTTTTGGCCAACATCCTCAGCTTTATGAAATCACAAGCATAACTCTGGGAAAACTGTCTTCAGCAGTTAACAGGAGCAAGCCAGTGCTCAAGGAAGCTCATAACACTATGAAAAAATTCCGAAATTGCAATTTAGGGATGAGAGGATGTGGTGGGGCTGCTGAGATGAGCACAAAAGGCCAGGGTGGGTGTTCTATGAAGACAGTACAAACCCAGATGTATTAGACTGTCTAGTAAAAAATGAGAACAGGAAAGTCAGCATTTCCACAGAGCCCAGCTAGAGGCAATAATCCAATTCACAGGGAAGTAAGAAGCTGATGGTGACCTTGCCAAAAATCCAGCTTTCCAAAAATAGTACTGATAAATGAGTAGTAAAAAATAAGGACCTAATCAGCAACAATAAGGAGAGGGACTGAAAGTTTGTCTTTCTACAAAAGGTAAATTATGCACTATAAGAATGACATCCATAATTTCAGGCCAGAAGAGCTATCAATTTCCAGGGACTTGTAACCCAGTGAGCAGACTAGAAAAATGTATTAAACTTATTCCATTTTGTCCCAAACCTGCCTAAATTTTATTATAATTATAAGTATTTTCTGTAAATGCCTGCTGTTGCACTTTTCTTCCATTTGTGCCTGAAATAGTGTGCAGAAGCTGTCAGTCCAACCATTCTCACCAGCACACATTCTAAGATGGAGACCTGTTGGATGGCACCACTGAGCTGGTAAATGTCACTGGCTGGGTACATGGAACAATGCAGGACATGGGCAGTGCTTAGGAATCTCCCCATGCAGTCCTGTGGCGCTCTGCAGGTCACAGTCAGATCTCACCATCTGTGCCCCTAGCATTAACAGATCGAGCAATACTCATGATCATCTGCCTTTCTAACACCACCCAGAAATGATCCTCCACTGTCGTCCCCAACTTGCTTTGGTTTGTAACCAAATAAGCATAGTCTGGAGATTTGGTACCTTATGGAATTATGAGAGTGTCCTAGGGTGACTTTATGGTGCTTGTATCCCCAATTGTTTGTTCTGTTTATGCTGGACATTAAGTTATGAACCTTTAAGACTGGTTCTGAGAGCGAAGGGGGGAGAGAAGAAGTGTGGAGTTGGTTATCAGGGACTGCATTTGCTCCCCCCACATCCTTCTCCTGGACTGTGCCGTCTGCAGCATGGACAGACAGTGGGAGAGAGCTCTCCTTTGCTTTCTTGTTAGTTGTTTTATTAGCTAGCAGAGGCAGAGAAGTTCCCTGGACTGCGGTTTTTTTTCTTTTTCTTGGAACTGTTCAGCCCTGCTCTGGACTGAAATCCCAGAAAAACACCAGGAGCTCACACCTGTGGCCAACCAGGGCCCAGGACACAGCATTTTCCAGTGCCAGACAGACTGATAAGAGACTGAGCAAGCTGAGCTACACCCCATGACAAGGATTCTCTGAATTTGCCATCTCTACAGAACAGCGAGAGGTTCCATTGTTTAATATTATTCCTTTTTCCACATTTGTGAGTACTTTTCTTGTTAAATAAACAATTTTTTCCACTTTTCTCAAAGGAGATTTATGTCTTCTGAACTGGTGGGGGGCAGGGCTGCTTGGATTTGCTTTCTAGAGGGACCCCTTTGGAGGTTTCCTTCCATATTTGCCCCAAACTGGGACACAGAATTTGAACAGCACAGAGTCCTCTGCAAGGTAAAGTGCTGGGCAGTCTTTTATGGACATGGTCATCTCACTTGGCAGACTTGAGAAAACTTGAAGGAATGAGAAATTCAACTTCTCCGTGAGAGATGCCAAAAAAATATTTACCTGGTGTAGACTTTTTCATAGCCAGGAAGATCAAAGATCCAAAGTGATCAAAGTGCAAAGGACTCACAAAACCTAATTCCTTCCAGAAACATCATTAGCATTCAGGAGAAGTACTGTGCTCCCCTCAGGATCCTACATGTGTGCATGATATTCAAGCTCTGCCCAAACTAACTCAATTTTATTCACAAAGTAATAATTTCTCCACACAATAGAGAGATCTCAATCAGCTGCTTAATGAAGGCATCGTGCAGAAAGCAAGCCAGGGACTGGGACACACTCCCAAGCTTGTGCCACTTCACCACTTGATGAAGCATCTCCTCTGTCTGGAACTGCCAAGTTTCTCACTCAGAGAGCTCCAAACCAAATGTCTAAGTTTGAGTTAATTGTCCTCAAAGCAATTATAGAGGCAACAGAGAGAAACAAGGGACTCCAGCTGGTGACACAGCCTACTTTTAGTCTAACAGGAGTGAGATTAATCACAGCCTGAACATGCCCATTCCTTCCTACAGGATAGAAAGGAAGCCCAGGGAGACTAGCTGAGATCTGGATATCCTGTTCTGGATGGACACCTGACGTTATGACTCCTTCCAAACAGCTGGTGGAAAGATGCACTCCCAAGTGTCTTTCTTGCCCACGAATAGGGACATGGCAGGAGTCAGTATTCTGACCACTGGCAAAAGAGCAGTTTATTTCTTCTAATGGAACACAAATAAGTTTGTTAAGATATGAACACATGGTCAGAGCTTTTTTCTTCTGCTGTCCTCCTCTGAACCTCTGCATTAGGGTCTTCATTGTCCTGTTTCTCCCTCTTACCAAACATTATGTTCAATGTTTGGCAAAATTGGACATGTTACCAAACACGGTGAGGGAGATGGCATAGAGAAAAGCAGCGTGTCTGAAGGCACAGAACATGAACATGTTCCCCAGCACAGTGCTGCAGAATTAATCTATTAATAGCTGTGACCCAGTCATTAAGCAGGAGCAACTTGCTGTCTGCACATCCACCTCTTAATGAACGTTGTTCCTCTTCTTCTCACCTGATTTTTACAGATGCAGCCCTACCCACACCAGTGAGAGCCAGCCATTTGACTTCATGCATGAGAGATTTGCCTCAGCCTCCCAAAGCCTGAACAGCAGAAGAAAATACCAGATGTTTTAAGCCTCTGAAGTAAACAGTCATCACTTGCACTTGGCATGGTGTTGTCTGAGTGAAATGCAAGGTGAAAGATAGTTCATGCTTTAGGTAATTCCATGGCAAATCACTTTAAGACTTTTAAATTAGAGTGACAGCCTGTTTTTGGGGTCCTGTTGCAACAGATAAACCTCACTGTAACCTCTCCTTTGTTTTACAGTAATGCTCCTACAATTGCTCTGCAGAAGGTTCCCTGCATCTGTCTTGTCAGATTGCTTAAAGGCTCCCATATTCTGCCTGAAAGATTGTGACAAAGTGCACTGCATCTGGACTGTCCAAGACAGAGGAAATGTGTTTCCAGCCACTCTGGCCACACAATTGAGACTAGACCAGAATTTCAAACCTGAGCAGATCAAAAGGCTCTCATCTTCTGTGTCAGCAGATCACTGCAGGCTGGCCTGTCCATTATAGTGTGAGTAGATGCCCTTCTAAATACTGGCTTAAGCCATGGAACAACCATCAAAATGCTGCTTTTGGCAACCTACGCTCTTGCTGTGGGGCAGGTAAAAACCTGCTTTATTTGACTATCCAAGAAATCAGGAGGGACCTCACTGCTCTGTGCAGGAGAAGTCCTGCTGCCTGCTCCATTCTCTCCTGTTGCCTCCATGATGTCTGGGAGGAGGGATCCTCCTTTATTAATCAAAGCTTTTTTTTAGCAGAGACTGTGAGTGTGTCCTTGGACTACAAGCTGGCACACTGTAATCAGAGTTGAGATCCTTAAGCAATAACTTTCAGAAAATCTAGGCCTTGTTATCAGAAACTTTTAAAAAAAATGCTGAAAAACATGATTGCTGACACTAGGCAAATTCATGACAGTCACCTACACCATATAACCAGAAGGTGAAATATATCTAAGTAGTGCAAGAAAGTTTCAGATAGACAGGATGTTCCCCAGATATCTTCAGGCTCTATTGGGATTTTATTAGGTTTCCTGAAAAAAGAAGAGAAGCTTTCTGAGAAATGAACTAGCAGTTCTTAGCCCCAAGCTTCACATGTCTCCAAGCTGATGCTCAGTTGCCAGCTTCTGTCCTGCTTCTTCATACGTTGGGGAAGTGATGGCAATGATCTCCTTTTCCAGCATATCCATTTGAGCTGTAATGTCTGACACAGTGTTTTTCACAGCATTCAGCTGCAGCTTCAGTTTATTGTAATCTTCTTGGAAGGATCTGTTCACGTTGTAGAGATGGTGACAACACTGTTTCTCCCCAGGAGGATGGTTCATTTTCAGGAAGGTGTGGAGGAGCTCACGTAAGTCGTGGAGAACCTGGAGGATTTCATGCTCTGCCGGCATACTTGGGGCAGACTCAGTCTTATTCTGAGTTGGAGTAGGGCTCTTCCTTTTACCTTCATGTTTCTGCTGGGGGACTGGGCCAGGGTTACCCTTTTCCACAGCTGTGATGGTGTCAGTGTTCTTCTGAAGATCTGAGCTGGCATCTTTGCTCTCTTCATGGACTGTGCTGGCTTTTTGGCCTTTCCAGGTAACAGGGAGTGCTTTATTCTCCTGCTGGAAATCCTCAAATATTTTATTATTTTCCTGGATTGCCTGGAGAGCTTTGTTGCCCAGACTGAGCTGAAAGCCTGTGCCCCTCTCTTGGAAGAGTGGAAATGGCTTATTTTTGTTCTTGAGGCTTCGCTGAACAGCATCAGTGTAAATCACCTGGACAGATTTGTTCTGTGACTGGAGATATTGTAGGGCCTTGTTTTCTTCCCAGAGCATCCTGTTTTTGACCCAGAGAACTTGGTTTTCCTGGCAGAGTGCTCTGTTCTCCTCCCAGATGCTCCACTCATTCTGTGCCTTCTTGCTAAAGAGTTTCTGGTGCGAAGAAAAGGGTGGCTGGCAGTAGATGTCATTCACCCATTTCCCATCAATAAAGACAAACATCTCACCCCTTGGCTTCACCCGAGGGGTGATGCAGTCTGTCTCAGGCTCTGTGTGCCGTGTGCTCTGCTTCCTCTGATCAAAGGCAGACATGGCCCTTCTTTAGCAAATTGAGGAGGACTGTGGGAAAAGGCTTCTTCCAGGGCTTCTGCAAGAAGCCACTGACCGCTGCCAAGGAGTAGGTGACACAGCGAGGCTGGAGAAGCTTGATTAGTACTGAAAGAAAAGGGAAAACAAATGCATACATTTACTGCCAAAATTCCAAACCAGAATTTAACTACACCAATGGCAGAACAAGCAAATAAATCAGTTCTCACTGTTAACCCCTTTGATGCTGAAAGGTAAGGAATCCACCAGATACCTAGTAGATAGAAGCTGAGAAAATTGGCATTGGTACATAAAGCAGCTCTATGGCAGCACTAAAAGCTTTCTTATAAAACCCTGCAGTTCCCCTTTATCTCTCTACCTCATTTTTACAGACCTGTAAGGGAGTAAAATGCAAAAATATTTTCTGCCTCGTAATACCACTCCCAAATGATTGATGCACAAACACATTAAAAATTATTATGAGGCTCAAACAAACTTTTAAAAATAAAGCATTTTTAAAGGTTTGTAGAAAATATTTGGCCTTGAGAGCAGGTTTTTCTTGCTAATACTGAGTAGCCTGTGTTAACAGGATGCCACAAAAATGCAGTGGCAGTTTTGCTTTTTGACCTTAAAATCCACAATATGCACAAACCAAAGCTTTGGGACATCAGAGCTTTGTTGCTCTTTGCGTGGTTTTTTGACAAGCTCCCATCACCACGGTCCAAAAACTGTCACAACCCATAGATAATTCTCCACCTTTCATTCTCATTTCTCCTGTCACTCTTACTCTTTATATCCTTTGATAGCTCTGTTATTTTTCTTGCTTTCTAGCCCTGCAATAGTGATTGCTTATCTTTTTCCTACAGTCCATCTGCCTCTTTTTCACATCACCAGAAAACTCATCTCTAAAATCCATACTGCAGGGCCAAACCTCTAATGCTTCTCATTTCAGATGCAGAAACCTCAGACTTATCTGTTGAACACTCTCCCTTCCTTTCCTCTACCCAAAATATTGCAGTTTAAACCACCTTCTAGCCATGAGAGGACTGGGGCAAATGAAGGATTTCAGTCTTTTACATAGAGAGAGGGAAAAAAAAAAAAAAGACCAGACCATCATAAATTATTGTTTTGTGCCAAAGAAAATCTTGTTTTCTGCAGCTTTAACCAAAATTTAATTTATGTGATTTTCATGATGAAGTAATTTGATCTCAGCTTAAACTATTTTTTATAACCAAATGGTTGGAATTCTCAGGGTTTCTGCACAGAGTTTCTAACAGCACAAAGGTGCCTTTTCTAGGTAAAAAAATAAATAAAAAAAGAAGTTACTTGTCAAATTCCACTTGGGTGTATTCCTCTTCCCCTGCTGAGGTCTCCCATCTTCCCTGCTGTCCCTGGGAAGCCAGTTCTGCCTTTCTGTCTGTAAGGAGAGTTTTATCTTCATGAATCTTGCCCCCATATCTCTACCCCAAGCATTTAGCAGAGGGTGGCTGCCACACACGAGCCCCTCATAGCCTCCAGCTCTGCCAGCACAGTGTGTACCCCCTGTCCTATTGCTGCCCTCCCTTCCCAAACCTGTTGCTCTCTCCTTTCCCTGTCATCTACACCAAACAGCACTGCATGTCCCGGCTTCTCCAAGTTACTTCTTAAAGCCAACATCCATAGATGCATCCTGCACCCCCTTCCCAAGCTTGTCCAACCACTCATAAAATTACTGCTTCATTTAAAATCCCAAATTCCTGCATTTAGGAGAGGGCTATTGCAATATAGGTCTGTTTGCATTAACATTTGATTTTATTGCAATCTGTTTACTGTCTGAATTTCAGGGCTGTCTTCCACATCATCTGCTTCTTTATCTCATGTCACACTTGTGTTTTCATAACATCCTTCTTCTGCTAAAAAGGTATTTCCCAAAAACTCTGTTTTGGACATTTTTTTTCCACTTACACTAAATCCAGAGCCATGCATTGCTCCCTCCCTTACACCCTTTTGCCCTGCAGCCTTTCCAATACATCCCATTACATTGGGGTGCCCAGTCCCATTTTTTCCCCTCAAAAGCCCCAAAATGGGGGCTCGGTGGGGGGGTGAAGGGGCAGAGGGCAAATCAGCCACGGAGGGAACAGACCCCTCATTATCCAGGGAAGATGCAGAACACACGCCGCATCAGAAGCCCAGACCCACGTGCCTATCATGGACAAGCAGCTACAGGTCTTAAAGTCACTTATGCAAAAAGATTGCACATTTTCAGGATAAACAGAAATGTATAATATATATGACTTGGAAGGACATTATCTCGGGGACATTTAACCTTGACAGTGGCTCTGTCAGCTCTTTGTTTGCTCTTTTTGCCAGGGAGACATCGACCCTGCTTTAGGGAGATACTTCGAGATCTCAATGCCTCCAGTAAAATTTTTCCCCCCATCTCTGAATTATCCTGGGAAATGCTGGGCAGCTGGGTGGATGGACAAGGCAGCCAGCTGCAGGGAAGCCACACCAAATCCAGACAGGCTGGGCAGTTTGGGAGCACAGCCTTACAGACCCAGCCCGTGCTCACCTTCTCAGCGCAGCCAGCGATGTTCCTTCCCTCTCCCCAGAGCCGAGCCAAGCTCTCGCTGCTGCCGGGGTGTCCAGAGGAGGCAGGGTGCACAGCTGGGGACAGGGCACTGGGGCTGATGTGAGCACTGGCAGGGACCTTGCCCCAGAAGCAGCCACCTGCCCCCAGACCCTCCAGGGGCTGGGAGCTCCTGCACACCCTCTTTGCACAGCTCACTGCTGCGCTCCTTCCGCGCTGTCCTCGCAAGACTGGCTTTGACTTTTCCCAGCGTTGCTCTTCTGGGCAAGTTCTCATGGAAATGATCTTTCTGCTAGCTCGGCTCCCATGCCCTTTCCTGAACCCAGACTTCCCGACCTCCCTTTGATGCTCGTAACTGAGAACAGTTTGGAAGGATTCTTTCTCCATCACACCCTCTTAAAACAAATTTTCCTTTTATTCTGAAACTTCAAATTCTGTTTGTTGCTGAACTGATATTGATACATCCAGAAAATCACTTCCCTGTATGCACTGTGAGAGTTGAAGTTATTTTTCGAGGACGACATGAAGTTCTTCTTTGACTATATGTTTAAGAGCAGACTATAGCTGAATCCTAGTAAGAAGAAAATAGAATATAGAAGGCATTCATACATGCAGGTTTAGAAATTATTTGTAGCAGCCATTTCCACTTCCACATCTTTACATTTCTAATTAAGTCTTTCTTATTTGCTACATCTTTCAGAAGTGGATTTTTTTTTTTTATTTTTCTAATCAGGATTCTTGAATAATAAATACAGCATTTAATTTCTTTTTCAGTGAAAATTACCATGTTGACATCACCCTCAAGGTGACCGCTATTGCTTTAGGAACTTGGAGGTATAGTTCAGCTTTGGTGTTATATGAAAATTATAAACTCAGGTATAAAATCCTTCTCTGTAATTGCTCCCTTGCTTATATTTAATCTTAGACAACAAAAAACATCACAGGTTACTATGGCAACTCCCCAGGGAGTATCCTTCTTTATTTGAGCTCCAGGATCCTGTACAGGAAAAGAGAAAAATGTCCTCAAAAGAGAAAATATTTTATCATGGGCTGTTTGTGCTTGGCCTGCCATCAGATGGGAATTTAAGGGTGCTACCCAGTGCAGACATTTTTCAGGAGGGGTGACTGAAATGTGCAATCTGAACTTCTGCAGAACTGTGGCTGTGGCCTCTGAAAGTGACCTTTGGTGAACATTTTAAGGTCTAAGAGCTGACTAGAAACTGAATTAATAGAAAGAAGTGCAGCTGCTTAATCCAGAACCATAGAGAACTAACTTGATAGTGAGCATACCTTTGCTTTTCTCATGCAGTATTTTCCTTAAAGTTTTGTAAAGTTCTTCTGCCAAGTCAATTTTTTACTGAAAATTATGAATTCAAATGCCAATACATTTGGATCAAATTTAGTGAATATCATCAGATGTGTTTATGCACGCATCAGAATTGGAAATGCTGCAAGAGTTCACAGCAGAATTTTTTATAGCAGCTACACTGATTTCTGAGCAGGACTCTCAAAAGGACTGAGATGTCATTCACAAGACTACAAAGGCAGAAATAATGCTGAGTGTGTTCCACTCCCTGCCAAGAGACAAGTAACCCCTGCTCTGTAAGAAGGGTTTGAACTAACTTGCCAGCTGAGTGTTTTGTCCACAAATTCAGACCACTCAATTTCTTGAAGATGTTTCGCTATACAAATAATTAAATATCATTTGGAACCAAAGCCTTTTTTCTCCATCCTACCTGCACACCTTATACCAGGCTGCTCAGCTGACTTCACTGTCCTTCTTCTCGGAGATTGTCTGGTTCTAGAAAGGATCCAGTGGAAAGGAATGTGTGATCCCAGACACACTCATATAATATTCTCCATGCTCTGTGCTGGGGTGCAAGAGGTCACCATCCAGTGATGGGTTGAAAGCCAGGGGAAAAGCAAGGTGTGAACTGCTACCATGAAGACAAGAAGGGCCCTGAAGACCCCATACCAGCCTTCTTTCTGTTAGATAGTGGTATGTACCAGCAGTAAATATCAGCCCTTTCCATCCTTTGCTTTTGGATTAGAAGATCTGGTAAAGTGTCTAAAGTGAAAATAATCTGTGTGTGGGCTTTTTAGTAAAAAGCATGCTATATCCCCAGATCTTTATTTGATAGAACCAAAAGCGTCTGCTGCCACTTTCTGCCGTGCCAAACACATTTGTGCTTTTGAAATGCCAGCCCCTGTGCATGTCAGTGCAGGCTGGTCTCACCGCACACTCATTCACTGTTCTCCAGGGCATTAAGCCTGGATGTGAATCCCACCTAGTCACTAAAAAGACTCTTGCATATCTGAGAGCTCTTGAATAATCTCCTGACCTCAAGAGATTATGTTTTCTTGGTTACTGAGGCAGTGAAATGTCTGGTAATATCTCAGCATTGTATTCTGCTCAGGAAGAGACAGTCAGCAGTGC